ATACGGAAAATATATATGTCAATTTTAGGTTTTTGTATTCATATTGGATGTCAATTATTTAGAAACGTGTTATTTTGACATCAACGTAATTAGTTGAAAACATGGAATTGAGGTTTGTGGTGTAAGAAAATACAAAAATATTCTCCGATTGACGAAAAGAAAGTGGGGTTGAAGTTGATGCATGAACCTATGTATGCTAATTTTAACAAAATATGCTTTGACAATATCTTTCTATATATATATAAAGAGAGAAAGTGTGGGTGAGTTATTATGCAACGTTTTATATTTGTACAATTAATACAACTCAATTTCAATCGTCCATTTTGTATTTCATAAACATTTCAAAAAGTTTAACATTGTAAACCGAATACATGTGAAACAAATATATGTTAATCCATATTCCAAATTCTAGTCTTAGATGGAAAAAAAACATATAATAGCACATGATGCATAGTTCTTAAGGTTATCACAATTTCATAGTTTCTAATAAAAGATTCCCTTATATATGTATGTATGCATGCATGTATGTATGGAAGTCCATTAGAAACTAAAATTGGTTAAGAACCTAGGATCCATCCACATCATGCCACGCGTCCTTTTTCATGATTAATATTCATCATTATTTTAACACCATTCATGATGAATATGGAAGTATAATTATTTATCTTGAATCACACACTAACACATTCATATTCCTAATAAATATGTAGCATGTCGCACTGTGGACGGTTCCGAAATTCCTAATCAATTTTAGGAACACGATTATATATATATATTGACAAGACTAGCTTGATTTTAATTGAAATCTTGGTTGATACCAATTCATGAGAGTGGTGTTCAACGTTTTTGTATTATGAGGAACTTAATGCAAATCAACATCATGGTATAATTTGATGATGAAAGATACGAAGAACAAGTCCAAATGAGTACTGTTGTGCTTGGTCTTTTTCAATGGAAAAGATTGGAAAATATAATATATTCATTGCAATTAGCTATCCAAACGCCTTTGACAACATATAGAGTATAGTTAGATTACTAGTGAATCTGGTTTGGTAAAATTTGACAAAATATATTACAATGACAAGCTAAACACGAATGCTAGCTAGGTTGAACTTGAAGTGAACATGGTGTAGATTGACATAATTGCCCTTGGTGCATGCAAGTTAATGTTTTCAGTGGACAAAGAAATCATATATGTATTCAAGATTGAGTTTGTAAATGTTAATTTTGAGTGTTTGAATAGATCCAAGATTTTGAGACAAGAACACAGGTAAGGTAAGGGTAAATCTGACTTAATATAATTTTTTGGGTTGTTGTAGGTTAAAGAAGCCAACTTCACAAGGCTATGCAAGAGCAAGAGGATCTTGACGGTGAATGGTGAATTTCCTGGTCCGACTATTTATGCTCATAGGGGTGAAACCCTCATTGTTAACGTATTCAACCGAGGCAATCTAGGCATCACTATTCACTGGTAACATTATATTTCACTTTTATTGCTCTTCTTTAATTTGTATGTGCGTTTGTGAGAGAGAGAGAGATGGATGAGGGGTGGCAAGGGAAAGAAATCATTTTCGAGTTAAAATTTTGATATTTGTTGGGATGTTTTATTGATAACTCAAAAATAGTAATACTCAAATATAAAATTTTCGAGATATTATTATTGATTATTAGGGTTTTCAAAATTTTATGTGTTTTCAATAAGAAACGTGAGTCTTGATAACACGCCTTTAATAATGACTTGTTCTAGTCGCAAGCTATAATGGCGACATGATTCGTTGACGATAAATGGACTTTTAGCAACGACTTGAAGTCGTTTAAAAAACCTTGTTTCTAGTTTATCTTTAAGGTCAAAATATAACCTAATTAACCTATTATTTATATAGAAACTACATTCAACTACTACATAAAAACATCCCCAACATATTTTCTAAAATGAAGATTTTGAGGAATTTTGCTACAACAAATTCTCTAAAACCTTTTTCAAAATGGATAAAATATGAGAGAGGAGATGAAATTCTCCAAATTTGGAGATTTAAAAAAAATGATCATTTATAAGAAAGAAATGACTTTTTCTTTTTTCTACCGATAAGATTGCTTGAAAATAAATGTTTTTTTTTCTGAAGTATAATAATATTTATATACGGCAAATTCAATAAATAAACTCACACACCCTCTTCACCTATGGTAAGGTTTGAACCTCTGACCTCCTACAAGGCCAAAGGCCCTTTGGTGAAAATAAATGTTTTAAGAGAGATAAATAATACTTTATTACCTATATTGAATATTTTAATAATATAATTAATTGATGTAATATTCAAAAATAGAAATCTATTAGAAATAAACGTAATTGTTTTAGTGCTTTTGATTTTTTACTTGCCAATTTAAAAGCATCTGTTAGAAATGTTCTAAAACGCTATCCACTGCATCATTGACCTATATAAAAAATAAAAATCTATCAACAATATTTATTTAAAGAAGATATTTTTATGATAAAAATACTGTATTTTATAGATATTGCTATATATACTCTTATTTAAGTTAGAATCATGTTAAATTATACGTTAAAAAAATTCAGGATTTAAGATAGGACAAATTACATGAAAAAGTAACGTACTTTAACTTGATTCTTATTTTGGGTAACGTACTTTTAAAACTTTCATTTTGGTACTTAAGATGTAAAGTTTTAAACATTTAAGTACCCGGGTAACTGGTTGAAGTATTAACCGATTATCAAGCTGATGTGACGAGTGAGGTGGAATCCGACTCGGAATTATTTGCTGACGTGGTCAGTGACGTAGATTTTTTTAAATATAAAATTAGTATTTTTTTAATCGAATTATTATTTTAGCAATAGTTTATGCAAATGATGTATACGATTAAAAACGAAAAAAAATCTTTACAAAAATTTACATAAGGATCCATATTTTCATAAAGAATTTGCTTAAGGATCCTACATTTACATAATAATTTTGTGTAAGAATTCTCATTTACGTAAAAAAAATTCTTTTTATTTTACATCTGAAAATAGACTTTTGGGTACGGTATTTGCTTAAGTTTGGTGGGAATTACGTTTCATCACATGGTTGGTGTATGATTGGTATGAGCTTGGACACCAAAGGTCAAAAGTGGTTGTAGATCTCATGTTCAAATTCAAGGAGAAATAAAAATCCTCTTGTAGCCACGGAGATTCAAATGCGGTGATTCCGGGCTACCCGTAAAATAGGTGGTCACTTTGGGATTAATCGGTTCACACAACGGGTTAGATATCCAGGTTAATAAAAGAAAATGAAATTTAATTGAGGAGATTACAATTTCCCTTTGTTCCACCAATGTTTCTAGTTGATTATTGTTTAATTTAATCACATTCTTGACATTTGAATTATATTTAAATAGCAATCAATAAATAAATACGATAAATATATCATTTTAGCAATTTAATKTAAGGAGTTCTTTGAAAATGACGAGAYACTAATATAAGTTGTGACTGTAGGCATGGAGTGAAGCAACCAAGATATCCATGGTCTGATGGGCCTGAATTCATCACACAATGTCCGATYAAACCAGGAGGCAACTTTAGCCARAAAATCATTCTTTCTGACGAAGAAGGCACRCTATGGTGGCAYGCTCATAGCGATTGGACTCGAGCCACTGTTCATGGTCTAATCGTTATATTCCCCAAGATCGGAAGGCCATACCCTTTCCCTAAACCAGCCGCCGAGTTTCCCATCATCTTTGGTTAATTTTTCGCTATTATCTTCGATATCAATATCAGTCTTTTCATCCGACGTCTTTTAATTAGAGGCGTCGTATCTATTACCGTTAAATGAAATATAACAAGAAAAGAAATCGGTACAAAATGAATGTGATGTTTATTCTAATCAGGGTCCACATGCAGGTGAATGGTTTAGGCAAGATGTTGAGGCTGTGTTGCTAGATTTCATGAGCACCGGAGGGGATCCTAATTCATCTGATGCTCTAACCATCAATGGCCAACCTGGTGATCTTTACCCTTGCTCTACTGCAGGTTTTCATTCTCATTATGTTCGAAAAAGAATCTCTATYTGATATCATCATTGAAAAATGTTGATTYGTACATTTTTAATAMGTGTTTTCAGAAACAACCAAGTTCATTGTGGAACATGGAAAAACTTATATGCTCAGAATGGTTAATGCCGCGATGAACCTCTTCATGTTCTGGGCAATTGGAGACCACGAAGTAACCGTTGTAGGAACCGATGGTGCATACACCAAGCCACTAAAAAGCGACTATGTGACCATCTCCCCTGGCCAAACCATCGACCTCTTGTTTAAAGCCAACCAACCCATAGGTCGCTATTATATTGCAGCTAAGCCATATAATAGCCAGCCATTGATTAGTTTCGATAACACTACCACCACAGCCATTATCGAGTACAAAGGTTACGAAAAATCATCTTCACCTCCAATTTTTCCCCATCTTCCAAAGGTTAGTGACATCAGTGCATCGGTTAATTTCACTGGAAGCCTTAGAAGTTTAGCAAGTCGTGCTCATCCTATCGACGTCCCAATGAAGATCACACACAACTTCTTGTTCACCATCTCCATCAACACATTGCCATGCCCTAATAATGCATGTTTAGGACTTGGAGGACGTAGGTTTGCTGCAAGTGTAAACAACATAACATTTGATTCTCCAAGGATTTCGATACTGGATGCTTATTATAGAAGAATCACTGGTGTTTATGGAGACGACTTTCCCAGTTTCCCACCATTGTTTTTCAACTTTACCTCCACTAATCTGAGTACATCGTTGCAGACTCCGTTGAATGCTACAGAGGTGAAAGTACTAGATTTCAATGACACAGTAGAGCTGGTGTTTCAAGGAACAAACTTGGTTGCAGGGATCGATCACCCCATGCATTTGCATGGGCATAGTTTTTACGTTGTTGGATGGGGATTTGGTAACTTTAATAGAAGTRAGGATCCTTTGGGGTATAATCTTGTTGATCCTCCTCTCCAACAAACCATTGCAGTTCCGAAAAATGGGTGGACAGCTATTAGATTCAAGGCCGATAACCCTGGTGAGTCTATATTTCTAAAATAATTAGCATGCATGAGCACTAAAATTGTTATGGCTAGTCCAAAATCAGTTTTATATGTCGTCTAAGATATCTAAATGTTCTAA